TACGTGAAGGCATGGTTCACGTCAAACAGAAGATCGTCAGTGGATTCCAGCAACGTGGAGAGATGGTTGTTGGAGACTTGGAGTAGAATCAGAATATGGGGATGCCAAGACACGTGGAGTTGGTTATCGATAAGGGGCACACATGATACATTACGAGACTAGTACATACAAGTAGTATTATGGACGGTGGCTACCCAGAGGAAATCGTGGATACTTTATATTTATCTTATTATTCGAATAACGCCTGAAGTCACTTTTATATGCTGTGATACAGTACGTAACCCTATAGCATGTTGATCTATGACCAAGCCCAAACGCCGTATATGCAAACCATCCCAGACAATGCGAGCCTCTCTTGACCAATGTCGGAGTTATCAGACTAACCCCTACGATTCGCAATATTAGTAGAGGCGGACTGCTTCTCAAGATCCGAGGGCACACTGTCTTCCCGAACAGCATGCTCCTGGTGTCCACGGCTATCGTCATCATTCTGTTGCTTCTTCTCCGCCTCTTCTTCGCCCGGGTCCTTGGGTCTTTCTAGTCCTCTATCTTTAATAAACAAACACGCAAGGAAACAAATCCCGATCAGCGGGACTTGCAAAATGAAAACTCCCCTTGAGGCCTTCGCATAGGCAGTGATGATTTGCTCCCAATCTGCATCCGCAACGCCTGATCTAGATGGCAATGAGTATGTTGAGTGAGCGAGATTCTGATATCTCTCTGGAAGATTGGACTTGAGAACCGCCTGCAGAATCGCGGCCGACACAGCCAGCCCGCAAGCACCGCCCAGGCAGCGGAAGAAGTTGCGGTTCGATATTATAACTGCCCGGTGAGCCTTGGTGCAGTGAGCTTGGAAGGCCACTAGTGTAGGCTGGAAGGTGAAGCCTACACCTATGCCCTGTATAAGGACGATCACGACTATTACTCCAATACTGGTATGGCGATTGAAAAGAAGCATCAAGCCGGCACCACTGTTACCGTATATTGTTAGACTGACATCTGAAAGAATCCCTCTGAGACAAGTACTTACAGGGTCCAAAGACCGAAACCTGTCCAGATAACCTCCCCGTACCGTTTGCGGCGAGAGATGTACTGCCCAGAGCAGATGGACGCCAGTGACTGGAAAACTACCAGAGGCGTCGTTAGCGCTGCAGAGAGCATTGGAGACCACCCTCTAGCATTCTGATAATACAAAGGCAGATAATAGAGGTTAGACTGGTAGACGGCCCCAAGAAGGAAGCTCTGCAAGAACAAAGTACATATCACTTTATTCCTGAATATAACCACTATTGAAACATTAGTCTTCGTCGCAAGGTAATAATGTGAAAGACGCACTTGGAAGCATAGGAAGTGTTGCCACCTTCCACTCTACGAAAATGAACACAATCAGAGAGCAACTACCGATGACTAGCATGCTTATCACCATTGCTGAGTCCCACTGGAAGTAAGAGCCGCCGCCAGAAATAGGAATGAGCAGGAAGATGACCCCGATAGACGATGCAATGATGCCGTAGTAATCAATCCGTCCCAAATTCTTTCTGAAACTAGTCTTTCGGGTATTGTCCGGCATGAGGAAATATCCCACCACCATCGAGCATACTGATAACGGAGCGAGGAGCCAAAAAAATGCCCGCCAGGTCGCCTTCATGATAAATGCAGCTGCAAGGAAAGGACCAATTACGTTTCCAAGTCCAAGCGAGGCACCCAAGATTCCCTGATACTTGCCTCGTTGTTCAAGGGTCACGATATCAGATACAATGATATTGGTCAAAGAGGAAATACCACCTCCTGCAACACCTGCCAGTCCTCGAAAGACATAAAACATAGGGGCATCCTGTGACAGACCACAGAGCAAATCGGCAATGCAGAGCAGGGCCAGCGCAGAAAGGTAAACTATCTTTCGGCCAAAAATATCGGAAAGACGGCCATAGAGAACCGTGAACATGGTGTTTGCGATGAGGGACGATGTCCCCGCCCAGGAGATAGTATTTTCAGCATGGAGATCTTTGGCAATTGTGGGGAGAGTGACACTGATGCCATTCTGGTCGACGAAAGTGATAAGTAACGACACTGCCAGGCCAGCAAAAACCATCAGTAGTTGACCAGTTGGCAAGAGATTGGTCTGATCATGCAAAGCTTTCTCTGCGGCTTGTTGCCGATTCATCATTTCGCGTTCTATTCAAACAATGCTTGGGTCGTTGCATTTGAGGATGAGCGGCTTCAGATCGGAGAATATGAGATATCACGCAGCGGATTCTATTTCTTCACAAGGTATAGTGTGTGCATGACCCCCATTGGGACCAAAGAGTTTTTATTATAGAATGTGTGGCTGAGTGCAAATCTTCTTTCTCCTTTCTTTCATGAGGAGGGCACAGAACCATGAACATATAAGGCAAGGATGCGCAGCAACCTAGTCAATTGGGAAACAAGAAGGGAAAATTTTTTCTTGCTGATGCCATGAGTGAGTGTGATGCATTCTATCATCTTTGCCATCGTCGTAATGCTTCATACTGGGAAAAGCATCGGAGTATATGCCGACAAATTTTCATTCGACGCTTGTTCAAGGGACAAAAGCCAATTATTGCCCAGGGATTCAGGGAACTCCACAGATACGTACTTCCAAGTTGGCGACATCCATCCACTTCTTCCCAAATAATGGCGCTAATGGTACTCCGTCAAGGTCAGACCATAGGATGATTGCGCGGGACCCATTCCGCTCTGACTCTGGCTTCTCGTTGGAAAACTACTCCGGAATATGAGGGATGTGGATCTTTGCTGTCGGCAATTGATCATCGCTGATCGGAGGTCCGAAAAGCTTGGTCGGATGCGCGCCGAGTTCCGTCCAAGGACTTACTCGGTGATTATCAAAGCCCCTGCTCTATTCAATTCTCCCTTGCTTTAAGCTGTGATTCTATTTAGCTTATTTCTTCTCCCCCTTTCTTTCACTTATTGTGCAACCGGATGTTTGTCTAAGATAGTATTCGTCGCTATCTTAATTCCTCAAATGGCGTATTCCTTTGCTTTTCACACTTGGCCAGATGGACAATGCTCACTTGCTTGTCCGCGTAATCAACAATGTGGGTAGCACATTCTTGGAGAAGCAAGCACAGGAAGTGTATCGACATTCAAAGACGAATAGTTCGACCTACTGCTTTTGACGACGATCAGGAGTGTTCTTCAGCAAATGAAATGTATTTCCTGTGGCGTCTAGGCTCAACCCATTTTAGCTTATATACTTGATTAGAACAAGCCAGTCCAGAGACTTGAACGAACATGTCTGGTGAAAAGTTACAAGTCACCTCTTAGCAGTAACAATTAGCCATGACACCCTTCGCATTCTACGTGGATTAGGTGTGTGCAGGCGCAATTGGAACATCTAGAGTACCTGGTGTCCAGGGCGAATGTACGCCGCGGGGACCAGCCGCAGGGTCTCCCCCATACCCATGGGCTTCAGCCACGCGACTAGCACCACTGCTACCTTGAATAGGTTGCGTTGGGCGCCCGGTGCCTTCTGCTGCAGCACTCTGACCGGGTATAGGAGGCTGAGGCAGATAGCTTCCGCCAGTAATGTTTCCTTGGTTTGGAAAAAAGCTTTGATTCAAGGCTCCGCACGTAGTGCATGTGAACTCGATCTTAAAGTTTGTGAGAACTAGTTGCGCGGCAGCAGGATGCCCCTCGGTCTGAAGCTGTCTTTGGGGCTTGGGTTGCCCAGTCTGCAACGCTGACGGAGGGTTGGGGGCTGACACTGCATAACGAGTCTGGTGAGGTGTGATTGGCTGATTAAGAGGATTGCCTAAAGTTGCTTGCTCCGGTGACTGCATATTGGGTGGATGATGCACTGCAGCTGTCGGTTGTACTCGATGCGAAGCTTCTAGTTGGGCGTGCGACTGCAAAGCCTCGCCGTGGATTTGTGGAGCTTGAAGTGCAGGATGATTGCGCTGCATGCCACCATGCTGAATGCCCTCAGCGTCCATGAGGCCATGTTGCATATTATCTGGAATCCATCTCGGTCCAGAAAGACTGCTGTAAGTTGAACCCTCCGGTGGTTCTTCAGATGGAGGTAGATGACTGCCTTGTTGGTCGTCTCCGCTGGAGTCGAGAGTATCAGCTCGTTCTTCCCGGTTTCGAGTCTGTTGTTGCTGCAATCTAATGAGGGCGCGCTGTGCTTGCCGTATCGATATCTCATATCCATGGTAACGCTTAACAGCATCCACAACCTCTTGCGCCTTAACATTGTTCCTCATATCGAAGAGTTTCGGTATCTCGTTGAGGAGAAACCGCACATGAGACACTTCTGACCGAACAGGTGTCTTGGTGGTGGAGGTCGCATTACTCCGACAGCTATGGCGGTCTTGAAGGCTGCTAATGTACGTCGCATTCTTATTCGCGCGACAGACGACGCGGAAAAAGCAATTGTTCGACGATCGACAGCCTATCACCACACTCTTTTTGTTGCTTCTTGTCACCCGAAGCTCCCAATGCTGCCTAACCGATATACTTCGTACCAATGCTTTGAACTCTTCCAGCGAGGCAAACTGTTGGCCCATATGGAGCCCCGAGTATATCTCCGTCATGCCGGTAAGGAAAGGTGCCGCAGATGGGACAGGCACGGATTGATTTTGCAAGTCGTTTCCATCAGTAAAACATCATTAGTTGGTCAGAACCGATAGACTTCGTAAATGCCAAATTCATAAGTCGGTCGGGCGTCGTTTGCGTATAAGCGCCAGAAGCATGTTCAGAAGGCTCCATCCAGCCTGACACGAAGCCTAGATAATAGGAGGGCAATTGGCATCGCTAATTATAGAAAATCTCGGCGGACACTGGATGAATAGCTAGCAATCGACCCCCAAAGGGCCGTGGTTGGTTGGCTCACTCGGCGTTGTTAGCAGCGATAACAGTTAGTAGTAGTAGTAGTAGCAGCAGTTGGGGGTGAAAGTACGGGACCATAAAAGGCACCCCCGAGCAAGATTTATGGCGGGAGAGTGAAGAAAGAAAGAAACGGCCTTAGCGCGGATCCCCAGACCGCTCGCATCAGCCTTTTTCTAAAGCACCCAACCTCCTCGGCGACCGAAGCAACCACCGATTTGTTCAACCGTCTGCTATTGGCGTCAATCGCAAGAATCATACTTTGATTTGCTCGTACAATGGCGTCTTACGGCTTACTAGATCAGTCGGAAGAAGGTCGGCGTTGTCACTGACCTTGGACAAGCTTCCTCCACTTCACCACGCTAACTCCTTCCAGATGCTCTCCACAAGTCGCGCCTGCTGAACGTCGAAGAGAAACCTTTCAAACGTATATCAAAACGACTTTTGAACCCCGATTCGCTAGTTATCTCCAATGCAACCCTTCCTCCCACCCCTCCGCCAGACGGAACAGACGACGATGCCACCGCAGCAGAGGCAGAGAAACAGAAGAGGCTTGAACAATGGCGCCATTTTCGCGAAGATGTAACACTGGACTTTGCTGCATTTGAGAGCAGTATCGCGCGCATTCAATTTCTCCTTACGAGCAATGAGAAGGAACGCGAACGATATGCAGCCGAGAAGCTTCGGATTCTCTCCACTATGCAAGCCGTACGCGACAACACAGCCGAGTTGAGGGCTCAGTTAGAAGAAGCACAGCGGCTCTTAGCACTGCGGAAAAGCTACGATGATTTGGCCGATAAAATTACCAGCAACCGTCTCTTAAAGCCGCGGGAAGACCAACAGGCAAACCTACAGAAGCTACAGGCGGAGATTACTGAACTCGAGAAAGAGAGCAAAGACTACGCGAAGACTTGGGCTGAACGACGAGAACAATTTGGCCGTATTGTGGAAGAAGGAATGCAGCTCCGGCGTCTTATCAGAGATGAAAAGGAAGAAGTGGAACGCAGGGAAGGCATGCAAGAGGGTGAGGATGGAGATGACGGCGACGTCCCTTCCAAGGGAAAATCTAGTGGAGCCAATACACCACGGCATGAATCTGATAGCGCTACTCCATCTCAACAAGGGCACGACGAAACGGGCCGTTCACCTGCTGGCCTACATGCAGAGAGATTGACAGCAGCAGGGGCAGCATCGCCCTTACGCCAAGTCACCATGGCTGAAGATGATAAGAAGCAATCGTCAGAACAGGATGCTACTATGGTGGATGAAGGTGAAGTGACTGGAGATGAGAATGCGGAGAATCCTGATGATTTAGAGGAGGGAGAAGAGGTACCTGACAGAATGGATATCACGTAAGCGACATACACATCTCTTGATGTCATTGCTATTGATATATCCTTCATGAGGTAAGGAGTTATGCTTGGGTGGCGTTAGATAATGGTAATGTTCATGATTTATAATCTTCTTTTCATTTGTGATATTAGGTGGTTGTATCTTTAGCATGGTAGCATATTTTGCACTGATGTCCAATTGACCTCCTCAGCTGGTGGTCCTCAAGCGATCTCTCGCTCAGCCGTTCTGGCCTTTGAAATAGCATCCTTGGCAGCATTGATTTGCTCGACGTTGCTCTCGGGCCCTTTGTTGCCCTCCTCGGTCTGCCACGGAGTGTTAGCCAGAGGGATCCAAATTATGTGAAGCGCAATTGTCGAAACTGACCAGGAGACCCTGAAGCTTCACTATCGACTCTTCAAGCTTCTGTTTTAGGCTTGGGAGGACCTTCTTTGTTTCTTCAAGTGCAAGACGCTTCAATAGGATTAGCAAAAATATTCGTGATAGCTGTTCGTGGATGCAGATACCTCCTGCCTCAACATATACTCTTTGTTCTCGTCATCGCCGCCCTGTTGACTCTCTAGTTTCTTAATGCGCTCTGCCTGTTCCTGCGATTCGCGGTGGTAGGATGCTTCTTCTTTCACCAGACGCAAGACAGATGACGTAGCGATCTCCAATTGCGAGCGTGGAGCCATGGTGCTTTGTTTCTAAAGGACCTAGTCAGCGATTAACTCACGGGAAGTCGGTATATAATAATGAGTATAAAATAATGGATTATCCAGAGCTGGTGATGCTGAAGGGAGTTCATATTGAAGTCACATCGTAGGGGCATAATTATAGTTCAACCAGGTATCCTGAACAACAAAAAAGCGAGCTGCCATGTACTCCGCGGCAGACCCTTTGGCTTCGACAGGGGTTTAAGGTTGCCTAAGATGGAAGCCATGCAGAGCGTAGATACCTTATAATATTTGCTATCTTTTAAATTCGATAATAGCTCAGTAGAAGCCTCTTCTTTAGGAGATGTTAACAAGCACTGAAGAAGTTCGGCGTGCTCTTCTTACCCCTCCGCAATTATGATGCTATCCAAGATAACTTTGCATTGTTTGTTTGGTGGGGGCGAGTGCTATTACACGTGACACCATTTATCTGTCAGACAACATGGCATGGATTATTCACTACATACAGAGTATATTCTTTCCAAGGCTAGCAGACCTGCGGTTACCTATCTTAGGATGAGGGCAATCATAGATTCGCTCATATGTCATTTTTCTACCCTACTTTTCCCCTGACTTAACCGGTACATTCCTCATTTGTGGTCATATCTCTGAGTCACTTGACACGAACATGGCTATCCCCCAACGGAAGCACAGCATCCTAGGTAACTCGCAGCTTACCCACCGGAAGCCGATGGATCGCCCAGCCTTGTCATGGATTGATGCGGGCCCTACTAGTCTAGTAGTATGAGACGTACGAATGGACTACTGGCTTTTTAGCTCATGTATGCAAGGCTGTGTGTGCCCCGTCGGGCGTTCGTGTTGCATGGCACCAACGGCATCGCCTCCTCACTATAAGGGGTTGCCCCGGGATTTCTGCGTATAACAATACTTTGTCCGGAACATGTGCCGAAGGTTTATGGAACGCAGGGCAAATCGTCAGGCGTCATCGTGGGGTGTACCTGTAATTATCTAGCCTTGAGGCTCTTTAATCTACGCTATATAAGCAACGTCCAGGTTGCGGCTTAAGACGACTTAGACATCTTGGATACTGTCCAGTTTTGTTAGACAGAAATTAAAGACTTCAGTGTAACAACGTGTTGAAAATGTGGTATACTACTGCCCGTTAGAAACAGTTTTCTTCAAGTTTTTACGCTAACTAGGTGTCGCACAGGTATGCGATTGCAAAGCCAAACGAATATCTCGTGCTCACTGGAGCCGGGATAGACGATATTCGCATTTGCAAGAAAGCTATAGTACTCCCCTTCCAGCGAGTATGTTTTCCCTTGCCAAGAAACAACCAGTAATTTGCTTGGAGTTCAATGCTGACAGCAGTTTTATTTTTTTCTCATGAATAGTGTGAGAGGATCTCTGTGACGCCCTTTGATTTGGCGCTCAATCTTCAGGCCATGACTATGGAAAAGCTTCAATTTTCATTGCCGGCAGTGTTCACTATCGGAGCCGACAATGAAATGGAGGCACTCAAAGATTACGCTCGGCTCCTTGCAGAGAACTCCGACGACAAAACTAATGTCCAGAAAATTGTGAAAGGCATTATCGAAGGTGAAACTCGAGTCATCGTTTCCAGCATGTCCATGGAGGAAGTTTTCAAGGAAAGGCAGATTTTCAAAAACAAAGGTCCGTAGCTACGATTCAACTTGGCTAGCCCAACCCAGCTAACGCTGTTGCATAGTGATTGAGAACGTGCAAAAAGAACTTCAGCAATTTGGCCTGCGAATGTAAGCCACCACAATCGAATGAGTGCTCCTTCCACTAACACAAGCATAGTTACAACGCCAATGTCAAGGAGCTCCAGGACACTCCCGGCAGCGAATACTTCAGCATCCTAAGCCAAAAAGCGCACGAAGGAGCTCTTAACCAAGCAAAGATCGATGTTGCTGAGGCACGGATGAAAGGTGAGATTGGAGAGGCAGAGAAAAAGGGCAAAATGAAGCAGGAGATCTCCAAAATTGATGCCGATACTGCTGTCCTGGAGACGAAACGGAGAGCCGAAAAAGCCAAGGCGGATTCCGAGCTCATGAATCGTCAGACTGAGCTCGATGCCAGTGTTCAAATCAGCAAGATTACAACCAAGCGCCAGACGGAGATGAAAGATGCAGAGCTGCAGAAACAAGTGGAGTCCAAGCGTGCCGAAACCGAACTGGAACGTCTTAGAGCCAGTGAGGTCACTAAAAGCAAGGTTGCGCGCGAGTCTGCACAGGAGAATGCAGATGCCGCTTACTATACGGAACAGAAAGCAGCTGATGCGCGGTTGTATAAACAAAAGATGGATGCAGATGCAGCCTGTAAGTTCGCCAACCTCTTGGAGTTATAGAATCCCTGCGCTAACTATGCTTAGATTATCGTCAAAGCAAAGAGGCCGATGCTGCCCTTTATCAGCAAAAGCGCGAAGCTGAAGGAATTCTGGAGATGTCTAAGGCATACGGTGCCCTTATTGACGTCCTCGGAGGACCTCAAGCCTTCCTACAGTTCAGAATGATGGAGAATGGTACATATGAGAAGTTAGCCAAGGCCAACGGCGACGCTATCAGAGGACTATCACCCAAGATCTCAGCATGGAACACCGGTGAGTATCGCTCCTAAGCGCTATTTTCAACGTGTAAAATGTGGTGAAAAGCTGACTTCAAGAAAAAGGAGAGGGCTCTGGAGATGCAATGGCCCCCGTCCGAAATATCATGCAAAACCTTCCGCCTCTTCTCACCACCATCCACGACCAGACCGGCATCAGCCCGCCATCCTGGTTGGGCCAGATGCCTGTGAATGGTGAAGTCAACAAACGAAAGTAAGAGACTATCCACCCGGGAAACTGAAGCTTTATACGCGACTCCTCCTGGCATATGACCAAGGGGAGATATAACGATTATTCCACAAGTCACTCAACCATCTTTTCGATTTACCATTCCATTTTATCGATTTTTTTGCAGTCCTTGCTTTTTCTCTTTGCTTCTCTTTTCCTTTTTCGTAATACCCACTGTCTTTCTTAGGTCAATATCGAAGGTTTTTATGTTTCTGGGGTAATGGGTAATGTATGTTAGTACAAGAAATCAAGTATTATATCAATCTTTTTTTTTTATGCAGGTCATCATGAAACCAGTTTGTACAGGGAAACGGATAAGGTCATCCACGTAGACCCGAAGTGCTTTCGGCCAATCAAATCATGTGATAAGCGTCATCCGCACTGGGGGCCATGCATTGTACTTTCAACGAGTCTACTACTATCCAACACCATCATCCCCCTGTAATAGTTGAATTGGGTTAATGCACCATTCGGGCTTCCCTGGGCATGTCACTCATTTTTCTGGAACCTCCTCTCACTTACATTTACGAACTTGATATATCACAATCTACCCATGCTACCTTCTTGGCTGCTTCTTGGTCTCCGTGATACTCGATAATGCCGCCGCCTTCGCTCCTTCAGCTATGTACAGCGACTGCTGTTAAGAACGTGAAATGTGCGCATATTTCACCGATCTAGTGCTTGGAACCCTCATACTAACCTCATGACTACCTCAGATTTAAATGATATTGGAAATGTTCCGTATATCCTTGCGCGCCCTTTTCTCTTGAAGATCGAAAGTCCTGAGAAACTCGTGAGTCGTTCTAAGACCAGTTGACTAGCTCATTGCCTGACCACTGCCGCTTTGATAGAGAACTCTAGAACTGCAATCCCCCCATATTATAGACGAAGATCAAGAGCTCTGGCTCGAGTTTATAAAGCGAGATATACCTAGATGGGACGAGTATGATATACCGGAACAATCCGATTGTTGGTATGACGTATATTGCGAGCTTCGAGAACGTGTGCAGAGGGAAGTGGATGAAGATGCCGAGAAACTGAAGCTGGCCCTGGACGGGATCAGTTCAGAGCGTGCCAAAAACAGTGTTAACTTTGTCCCTGACCGACGCGATATTCGCTTACCCCGAGAAAGACCGACGGCGAAGCAACGGTATGCTTCTTATGACCGAAAAATGGGGGGGATCAAACCTATGTTTACATCTACGAAGAATACTTTCGGCTCGTCAGACACACTAGGATCAGCCCTCTGGTCCTTGGAGCGACCGCCGCCTCCACCCAAGAAGAAAAGCAGTATATTCACTGCTCCGAAACGGAACAATGCCCTGGCCGTGCCCACAAAACACTTGAATAATAGAGCCACACAAGTCAGACAAGCCCCTCGTTCCTTGATTGAGGAGCACAGACGGCCGCCAGAACCCGTCATTTCTCGGCGGACTAACCCTCCTGCATTGAGAGCACCCGGGCGGTCTAACCTTCAGAGTATACCCGAACGGAGAAGTCAGAGTCCTATGGTATCTACGTCCTTGCGGGATAGGGAAGCAAGGCTACGAGCTATTGCCTCTGGGCAACGAACGGGTTCTAATACCCCCAGTTCCCCTGCCTCTTCGCAATTGCCTCCTGCTGCGAGCTCAAGGTCAAGGAATACCCAGACACCCACCTCAAATAGTCGCAATGAGCTTTCATCTGTAGAATTTAGCTCACTGCCACGCTCGCACACAACTGAAAGACACCGATCTGCTGAAATGGAGCTCAGTACTGCTTCCGATGGGCCCAGAGGTTCCCCAGCACAAGCTCCTCGGCCTGCAATGATTCGAAAACGGCCTCCTCCAAATGTCTTCATGCAACCCAAAAAGAGAAAAGTCAACTAACATCATATCGGATTCGAAGCTGTCATGGTCTCCATTTTTAGTGTCATCCAAATCCTAGTTCGCAACCATAGCTCTGTAGGTTTAGCAGTTTAGGGAATTGGTGTGTGGTTTGTCTTTTTGTCGGTATTAGCGCAGGGCGTTCGCATGTTGATCTGGGTTCATCTTCTCTTCCCTTCCTTTTTCCTGGCTCTGTATACTCAACACCCCCACTTGGCATTGTCGAATGGAGTTGTGTCGAACAACACCTCAAGGTGTATATGTATTTGAACCGCATGATCTTTACGATGTCTATGATTGTGATGCCAAACAAATATGTGCATTTTTGCTCAACGAACTTCAGTCTTCAAGGTATATCCAGTTTACAGTCTTCTTCTGAATTTTGACAGGCAATTTCTTTATTACGGCTACATCTTCTGCTCTATCCTCTTTTGGCGAAAATCTGGTTTGAAAATTCTTTCGTGAAACTTATCATTACTGCGTTGGTGTAGCACATTAAGAGTCATTCTGAGTCGGGGGTGACATGCATGTGGCACAGACACGCTATGCGGATTCAGGAAGCATTCCTGATATTAAAACACCATTCGCTTGCAGCCAGCACCGAACAGCCCGCTTCCATCTCCAGGGTATAGTAACGAAAACATATATGAGCTGTGTTCATGCCACAATATTCGGCGCGCCTTCAGGTATCAACTGCAGAGAACCACCCAGCTAATTCAAATATTGCGCCCCATTCACAATCCCGATGGTGTACAATATTCAGGACTCAAGGTAGGTGTTTACAAGGTCAGAGATCCACCACGGAGAGCGAGAACGAGGTGTAGTGTCGCACCACCTTCGAGATTGTATTCTGACGCAGTTTTATCATCGGCCCTATCACCCGCAACAAACGTATTAGCTCGACTTCACGTCTCAAGTATGACAGGCTTCGCTCCGGAGTCCACGTACATCTGTTTTCCACCAAAGATCAATCGTTGCTGAACAGGCGGGATACCCTCCTTCTCCTCAACACGCTCCTTTATCCGGGACACCTGCGTGAACTTAGTAACCATGATTCAAACGAAAATGACTTATCGTTCCGCATTGCGCAAATCAACGGATACGACGCGATCAGAAAGCAACCGTAATTAGAGGTAAGACAATACCTTGTTATCAGGCTCGATGTCCAGCTCAATCTCCTTGCCGGTGAGGGTGCGAACCCTACAGCAACGCTCGACGGTCAGCCTATGGTCTCACTTTCACCGAGACGACTGTCTCGTCGGATCTCCAGAATGCAAGGACGGGGCTAGGCGCTACGGCACACATGACTCACTTGATCAACATCTTCGAATATTGTGTGTAATCCGAGACTTGAGGAGATGTCTAAGCTAAAAACCGGAATCTAGACGCGCAGGGTATCAAATCCCAGGTAAGAATGAGGGAGGGAGAAATAGCAGTGAGGCTCAACTACGGTGGTTGACTGGAGACGGTGACGGGAAGCTGCGCCGTGGCGCGGGGCCTTTGGTGGGGCGGGCAATAAAATCGAATACATTCCGTGGAGCTTAAAGGACTGGAAGGTAAGTACACAGATCGTATGGCTCAACTTTTATTTCACCATCCCTCTGTAAGAAGTTAGGTAGTATAGTACATAGGTCTTACTTCATACTATATGCGTATTTTCAGGTTATATGGTTGGCCTTGTTGTGTGCGAACTTATATAGCCCTACTTATGAACGCCGAGCACTATGATATATACCGACGGCGTTAAAGTCTCCTTTTCGTGGATCTCTCAGCGAGTTTCAACTGCACATCCTCACCACAAATACTTTCGAAAGCAGATACACCACCACAGTGCTTATGATTAAAGATGTCTGAAATTACTTCCAGCAAACCGGAGATAACCAATCCTTTCGAACAGATTCTTACGGACTGTCAACACGATCCGGTACCTCTGTTTACCCCAGTTTCAAATATAATCCCCACAAACCTAATCAAAAGTCGAACATAACAGAGTAAAGTCCAAGACTGCTATGAAGATCACCGTACGAATAGGAATGCGCAATCCAAGGCCAAACTTCTAAGTCCCGATTTCTCGGGCTGGCAGACAGATGAAATTCTCCGCAAGTTGCACGCACAGGCAGCCAACACACAAAGAGATAACGAACCCTCCTTTGTTGATCCTCGAAACAACTTCACGCTTTATGCCCGACCGCCACCAAATATCCGGGAACTGGTGGCTGAGATCCAGGCGGATATTCAAGATGCTGCGCCAGGTTCGTTTTCATTATGACTCATGATCTTCCGTCTAGTCATGCCAATATAACTGATATCAAATGCCTAGCTATCTGGTTGACACCACCGGATTTCCTGCACATTACCGTGATTGAAATGGCTAGTGGACGGACAGAAGCGGATGTCGAGGCTTTTCTCGCCCATTTACAAGAGAGTGGTACAATACCAGACCTGGTGGATTACACATTCCACCATCGGACGCGGTTGGTTAAGCCTATTCTCAGCTATGATGCAACTGCCATGGCCTTGAGCTTCGTTCCTGCGGCTGGGGAGGATACTGCCGTTGGAAACCAGACATACTGCGGTGAGGGGGATAAGTATACCTATCACCATTTGCGACATGATCTTTTTGATCGCTTGACTGCAACCGGTTTACTGATGAAACCGAGGTACGTTGTTCCCTCGGCACATGTTACCATTGCGCGGTTTTTTACACACGATGGATTTGTGGCGGGAGGCTCAAGGCCAGATGGAGTCCCAGTTGTAGATCAGGAGCGAGTCGTTGCGCTGGTTGAGAGGATCGAACAGATTAATGAAAAACTGCGGCAGAAATATTGGCCGCAGGAGAATGGGGCCATGCCTGCGGAAGGAGAGTGGATTGTTGGACAAGGCAAAGGACTAGAACTTTGTAAGGGCAGGTCATATTATGGTGGAGGAGAGAATGTTGTCACAGGGAAAGGGTTCCCATGATTGTCTATACATTACATAGATTAAAGATAGAAGATCAAGCAAATGACGACACTGATTGGGTGTGGGCTAATTGGTGCCTGAGGTACCAAAATAAAATGATGGTAGACGGTCTTGGCGTCACCAGAAGCGGTTAGACCGCACTTCCGTAATAGGTGCAATAGGGCCTAAGCGAAACGAAATCCCACAACCCATCAGACGGGCAGCCGACTCGATCCCTCCCCGACAAGAGACTATCAACGACCACCGAATTCGCCCCGGCCAAGTCAGTCAAAATGGTAAGAGCCTAATATTATTGTTTTATTTGCTTGCTGCTATGATTTGGAAATTCTGGACATTGGAGATATGTGGTCGACATTTTGGTGATGCTTGCGGAGGACGACTCTTCTCAACGGACGGGCTGAGAGATACCGGGCTTGACGAAACGCCTACGATCGAGAAAGACGACAATTTTTTCCAAGTCAATAAGGGGGTAACCCGGATGGTGTGGGTTGACCGGAAAATGAGGCGACCATGTGTCCTGGTTTGAAGCGCGAATGGTGCCCACACAAACCGGATTTCGTGCGGTCGTGTCAAGGAGATCAGAATCTTTTTCGACGGCACTCAAGATAACGACAAGCGCGATACAAGTTCTCAACATCCTTTCCCTCAGCCTTCCCCCTTCAATGTCCGCTATGGCGACCAGATGTCGAACTACATTTCTCCGATGACCGGAATCCAGAAATCCTGATGCAGCTTTACCAAAATTCATTCGAACAGCAAGCGCTGATATTCTTTTCCCCAACCAGGTCAACGTTCCGAAAACCCGCCGGACCTACTGCAAGGGCAAGGAGTGCAAGAAGCACACCCAGCACAAGGTCACCCAGTACAAGGCTGGCAAGGTGAACATACCCGAACGCTACGGTTCCTGCCAATACGACAAATGCTGATGCGGATGGATATCTATAGGCCTCCCTGTACGCCCAGGGTAAGCGTCGTTACGACCGGAAGCAGAGCGGTTATGGTGGTCAGACCAAGCCCGTCTTCCACAAGAAGGCCAAGACTACCAAGAAGATCGTCTTGCGTCTTGAGTGCACTGCTTGCAAGCAGAAGAAGCAGCTCTCTCTGAAGCGTTGCAAGCACTTCGAGCTTGGGTACGTCTTGACTGAAACATCCAGCCTGTCGACAACCAACATATAATGCTAACGACTTCTACAGTGGTGACAAGAAGACCAAGGGTGCTGCTCTTGTTTTCTAAATTTGCGATTTCCTTGTTCGGCTCTGGGTTTCCTGCATTGCACAGGCCGCTACTCCCGCGGCGGGGCACATGACATTGGGCAATGGGAAAATGAATAGGACTTCATATTCAGAAAAAAAAAGAATATATGACTCCTAGTTGATGAGTCTCTTCATGAATTAATCCCCTTTATGACGAGTAGAATGTCGCAAAATAGCCTCCTTTGACTGTGTCCGTGTAAGCCATCGAGCTTTACGCCGTGCCTGCTAGATCTTCGTATGACTTTTAGTCTTTCGTATTGTTCTTTCGATCTTGTGGAACGGTAGTGTGTTGCAGTATCTCATGGAGTCTCCACACACGCGGCTATCAAGCCAAGCCACCAATCCGCTTTATCAATGGCAGCGAGACGTCAGCCGGGTCAACTTCTACCCACCAGGCATGCCCTATGCCAAGCCTTCTTTCTCATCTCAAGAAAACTTGGTTTTGTACGCAACATCGTCCCACAAGGGAGCGCTGAAAACATACATTGAGCAGGCTAGGCTTGTTCGTAGGAAAAGACTGATTGCTTATGCTAAAGTATACTCTATCTACCCAGCCGCTCCGATCTTAATCGAAATCAATAGTCATAATAACAGAAAAGAAAAAGCTACTGGTCTTATTCTTATTATATATCTATAGTGTACATTCTTAGATATAAACTTAGTTGACTACTTGAAACAATATTGTAGTCATGAACCACTTAACAGTGTAAGTAGTTCAGACTTTGAAATCGTGATGGTCTGTCATGGCTTGGGCTCCACTAGTATTTACTCACCTGCTTCTGAGTTTGGGATGGTATTTCCGAAGCGACTATTTCTCAATGGTGGAGGAGTGCACACGATATCACCATATATGTTCTCAACACAGCAGTAACGTAGGCTTAGATTTATGGTCTTAGTTACTGGCAATCTACTGCTCTGTATAAGTTTTCACACTTTAGAATCTTACCTTGGAAGTTCATATTGTCTAGTGTGTTGACTTCCTACTAAGTACTCAGCCAGCCCCCCCCAGAAAAAAAAAAAAAAAAAAAACGTAGCTTAGCTTCTACTGAAGTCTTTGAGTTACTTGCAGGAATATCTGCAGTTGGAATAACGCGGAATTGCCTTTCTGGGCTCTCCCCCGCTCTTCTCCCCCCTCGCGGGACCTTTTCCCCCAGATCGTCATCCTCCTCCCCATATTCTCTCCAGTAATCTTCTAGCACCCCCACGACATGACACTTGGATCGGCTATGCTCCGAGCTACTAGTCTATGGATATGCACCTCGGTTGGCTATGGTGTTTATAAGCTGGAGTATGTACTCCAAGTACTGTGAGATAATGTACTGCCTTCTTCAGTCTATTCCTTCGCAAGATACGATGGCTATCTGGTACACCCTTGGCGTTGCGTTTTTCGCCGCAATCGGCACTTTCCTCTTCGTAAGCTTATATCCTTTGTCAAACCATATGGCTGGATTAATTCTGATGCGCCAATAGGGCTTTGATACTGGAATTGCGACCACAAGTAAGTGCAAGCAAAGACTTGTTAGTTGCTAGCAGCAAACTCATACCGAGACTAGCAATCGCCCACCAGAGTTGGATTGATTATATGAAGAATCCTTCTGATGGACTTACTGGGGCTGTAAGTTGACCCTGAAACGCTCGCTCGCTAAGGGACTGGTGATCTCAACTAGGCAGGTGGTTGCTGTCTATATTGCTGGCGAAGCAGTCGGTGCTCTTACGCAGACAGCTATCGCCGATAAAGTTGGTCGCCTACGTTTCATGGAGATGATGTGTGTCATTGTCACAATCGGAACTACTATCCAGACTGCTTCGGTCAATATTGGGATGTTCCTTGCAGGCCGCGTATTGGCCGGGTATGCTGTTGGGTAAGTGCTCCTATACTTTAAAAGGCTTGGATTGTAATGATAGATGCTGTATAGGGGAATGGTTGCAACTGTACCCATTTACTTGAGCGAGATTTCTGACCCCCGTTATCGCGGTCTCATTGGTGGTATCTCGGGATGCGGGATTTCCCTCGGTACCATGGCTTCCAACTGGGTTGGATACGCCTGCAGCTTTGCACCGTATGGGCCAGTCCAATGGCGACTTCCACTGGGAATTCAAATTCCATGGGGTATCATTATGTTCTTCGGGTTGATCACTTTTATGCCTAACTCGCCGCGTCACTTGATTCGAAGTGGGAAGGTTGAACAAGCACGCGATGAGTTCAAACGAATTCGGAGGGACTTGCGTCCGGATGAAATGCATCGTGAGTTCGAGATTATGGCTGTGCAGATCGAATACGAGATGGAGCGGGAGATCACATCGTACAAGGAGATATTCAAACTCTTTAGACACCGTGTTCTAGTGTAGGTTCTTTCTCTCTCCCTTCCCCCCCCCTCCCCCCCACCAAAACCTCTCATCTCTGTCTTTCTCGCTCTGTCGTTAAATACCTCGCATCTAACATAATATATCTAGATCAATCGCAGTTCAGACTATGACAAGTCTTACCGGTGTGAATGTGATCCAGGTATGTTCATTGCCAACCCATTATTTACCCGGAATATACTAAACTACATTTGCAACCAGTACTATCAAAGTAAGTCATCTTCACCTTCCAAGCATACCTTTACTGACATCAAACTAGCAATTCTATACAAATCACTAGGCATAGACTCTCACACCATCCTCGCTCTAGCCGCAGTCTACGGTACCATAGCCTTCCTCGTCAACTGCCTGACGACAAAATACCTCACTGACCAATGGGGCCGTCGAAAGTAAGACTTACCATTTCCCCCCAATCCAATATTATAGCACTCCACTGACGAAATCAATCCAAAATAGGATGCTCCTCTCAGGTCTAGCAGGAATTATAGTCATCGAAATATACGCCGCAGTCATGCAACGAGAGTTCCAGAATACAGACAACCAAGTTGGAAAGGGTTTCGCCGTCCTAGGCATCTATCTCTTCGTCGTAGCTTATTGTAAGCGAAAACCACCATATAGGATTAACCGACACCCGAAGCAAAAAGAAAGAAAAGCTAATCATAATGGAATGCTCCCACAGATGGAATGCTAAACAGCACAACCTGGCTCTACGGCGCCGAAGTCCTCCCTATCTCCCTCCGAAGCAAAGTAATGGGTCTAGCGGCTGCGTCGCACTTCATCGTCAATGTTGCAAGTTCGTTTATCTACCTCTATTCATGGATATTGAGTATATATGCTAATTCTGATCGAAAATTTTGCAGTCACCGAAGCTGGACCAAGTGCGTTTGCTAATATCGGGGAGAATTATTATTATGTTTTCGTGGCTTGTTCGGCTTTCTTCCTAGTTGTGGCTTATTTTTACTTTCCGTAGGTTTTTTTTTTTTTTTTTTTTTTCATATGTTGCTCTGAAATCTTTACTGATGAGAAATTTACAGGGAGACCAAGCAGAAGACGCTCGAGGAAATCGCTGCCTCGTTTGGTGATAAGGTTGTTGCACCTGGGGAGAATAGTAAGGATGGGGATGATGGGGATGACGCTGGAAAGGCTACATCTGAACGGGTGGAAGTTGCTTGACGACATCTTTCAATACAATACTTTGGTAATCAGTTACTTAGGATAGTTTGACATAATCAAGTTTCAATGATATATTCTATATGACAAAAGAAAATAGAGACATATCGTGTGACGTTTCCATACAGAAGACAAGGAAATTGTGTTAAAGAACGTTAAGGGAATGATCCAGGTCATTGCATCGATATAATATAGCCAATTGTAAAGTGTGTAGACCATTGAAGGTCCGGGATTCTGGACGCGGGGTAACGCCCACGCCAGAGAATCTGATTGCAGTCACCCCCAAGTGACTGACTCCTCCCCACAAGCAAAACATGCGTGAGTGCATGATATCATGCTTGACTCGTAATACGAGGAGGGTCCTGACATCGGATCAACTCCGACGGGCTCCCGCCATCTCGCCTTAGCTTTCTTTCTGCAAGCTAAACCGAGTCGATTCTAGATCGAACGGCGGATATTTCACGGCCAGAACTGGACTCTGTCTTCTCTAGCCGGAAATAGCATGGTCTTGTAGCGCGCCATGAGATCGAGTACTGATAATGCGGCTCTAGCCGTCAATCTATCCCAGTCCTGACTGACGGAGGCGCTGGTCCTGCGCGAGGAAGTTCCATCCATCCCATTGGACCGATGACGGACTCACCCAGTTCTGGGGACGGAGTTGAGCAAATAGTGGCTCCGGTATGTAGTCCACCGGTGGAGTGGGGTAAGGTTGGATGAAGGATGGTGCAGCTGAGGTCGGCACGGTGTTGTCCATTGGTACTAAGGTTTGTTGTTGCTGGTTTCGGGCACTGACGAAGTCCCTGGATATCCTTTGTTAGTTTGATATTGTCTGAAGGTGGGATTTCGGGAGGGGGTTGTATGAATGGGTTTACTTACAGAAGCTGGCGGATGACAGGCACGGCTTTACTGCAGAAATTACTGCGATTCGACAGTGCCGCGAAGGCATCCAATGATCGCCAGAGGAGATCATGGGTCTCGGTGAATTCGAATTGGTTGTCCGGGTGCATGAGAATAGCGCAGAGAACAACGACTGCGTGGAAAGCGTGGAAGCTCCCGAGTCCACTGTTGTACCATTTGTACGTGGAATACTGGGGTAGATCGTGTAGGGACTGGTAGATTGCCAGGGTTGCCTTGGCAGATGCGGCGCACTTAGCTCTGGCAGAGCATGTCTCGGGCGTAGCCTCGCCTTGCAAGTAGCGGCATAGATTGGGCCGGAGGGCGAGAAGGAAGAGCTGGTGGAGGTGGCCATACAAGGTGTTCAAGTTGGCCAGATGGTGAGTTGGAAGTGTTTCGCCGCTGGCGTCGAGTTGATACCGCTTGTCGCAGGTTTCGTGGATCGCTAGGATCTCAGTCTCGATCTGCGAGATGCTGAATCTTGGTGCAAATGTGAAGAGGGTTTCGCAGATCATCGAAGAGATTTTGGATAGCTGGTACTCTAGCAAGAGGTAGGTTGTTTGAGTGGGATGCATTGTGGGCTCTGATGCCCCTCCTGTGAGCAAGTCCACGTCGTTGATCTCCAAAGGGAACTTGACATCCTGAGAATGTATTCTCTGATCCGGACCGCCAAATGTGTTGTTCTGGTTAATATAGAGGATCATGAGACCCGTCCAGGCGCGCCTACGCTCCTCGCGCTCGATGGGCCCCAGGCCAAATCGTTCCGGGTCAACATGGCCCCCCATTGAGATTGCTACATGATGCGTAAAGCCCAACAAGGTCCACGTAGGTAGTCCACGGTGGATCCTTGCGTAATTAACGAGGACGAGGCACTGGAGAGAGTTGATGGAGTGGCGAGAAAATACGCCATCAGCTGCCAAGCATCGCAGCGCTGCCGAGCGATAGCGCGATGATAGGACTTTGATATTGCGGCTGACTGTTTTTTCACGGCCCAAGTCGGATAACAGTGGATCATCGTCGTCGAGGGCGGTGACTGCAATCCCCAAAATAATAAATAAGAGGGCAATCCATGCCGTGCTTACACTGCTTGGGTCGTGACAGAATCGCTGATACTCAGCTTCGAACGTCAAATCATGCAGGATATGGAACATCTGATTCGAATTAGTTAGAGCCTCTCTAACAGATAAGTCCGGACGGGGGATGGGATAGGACAGGACCTACGGGAGAGAATACTCGGAAGTAGACATCTTTTAGTGCGTCGCAATATCGGCCCGGAGGAAGCACTGCCAGTAATTCCTCTCTGGAGATGTTGTTTCTGGCAAAGGGAATCTGTAAATCATCGCCTTCCTCTGGGATGTCGGCATCGACGTCATGCACTGCACTTCCAGTCACTGAACCCCACTGAGATGCCAGCGGGAGATAACGGACATAGCCCGAAGAAAATGTCTGAAGGGTGCCAAAGTTACCCAAGAACGGGCTTCTGACGTCAGGTTGGCTGATGCCGATAGAGCTGTCCGGTTCCGAGAAGCTTCCGGCCACACTAGGCGACATTTGTGGTGAAAGGGAATCACTCATATATGAACTGGCGGCCTGCTTATGCAGCGTATCTTCAAGATTGCGGATGCGCGCCAGCAGCTCCTTCTGCAAAGTCGCGTCCGCCGTCACTGTATTCTCAGAGGATAGCCGAGGCTGGCCCAAGTAGACACAGTCTTCCGCTCCTAATCCTCGTCGGACACATGTCTGGCACGGACGGCCGTCTCGGGAGCAGCGGATTTTCCTTGTACGGCATGCTTGACAGCTAATGGGCAGTCTCTTCCCAGTGGAACGACTTGATGAAGTCATAGTACCGATGGGGAGGGAAGAGGAACTGGTCTAGCCAACTCCACACGAAAAGACTTCAAGTGGAGGTCGTTACGGTCTGGGGTTTGAAAAAGAGATCTTATAATCCACAATCTATGATGGTGTCCACAGTCTTGAATGGCGATGGAGATGGAGATAGAGATAGAAATAGAGAGTGAGAGATAGATAGAGAGAGATGAGAACACATTTCCGAGAACTCGAGAATTCCGGTTGCCTTTAAACTGGAGAGAAAAGGCCCTTGTCCAGAGATCTGCGAGCTGAATCGGTAGATGAGCTACACCGAATCGAGATGAACACCTCCATTTCACGCACTGTTGGTAGGAGGAATGTGCAATGACCATTAGAGTTAACCCTGCAACAAATTGGAACAAAGACTACCTTTCCTAGTTGGTTGGCAGTTGGCTACATGTCGAATCAGGGACAGAATCCTGGTGCTTCTAGGGGCATGCAGCCAGACCTTCTAGAAAACGAAAAGCCATGTGGCCAGCGCCTCAATCTGTTTAAAGTTTTCATATTGCAGATTTTGTGCCATGTGGGACGGTATGCCACGCGAAAAAGGGAGCAAGGAACATGGTCAACGTGGAAAACTATTTGACAATGGCTAAGATGGATTTTAGGATCCGCTGGGGGCTGATCACCAAGTGGAGATTCGTCCAAAGGATGTGTGTGTGGGGAGAGGGAAGAGAAAAGGCTGCTGCATAGGATTAAGGAGCGACCATAACGCCAAAAAAGTAAAAAAAAAAAAGAAAAAGAAAAAGAAAAGAAAAGAAAAGAAAGAAAAAAAGAAAATGGGAAAAGAAAAAAAGCAAAAAGAAAAACAAAAGAAACCTTTACCATCTGTAAGTCGATATTTCCCCACAACCATTAGATTGCGGCGCTCTTTTTTCTTTTCCTTTTATTGGTATGGGCTTTCAATTAATTAGGTGAATGATTTTGATTTTCTTTTATTTTCTTTTTTTATTTAATTTAATGTATTAATTTATTTTATTTCCATATTTTTTTTTTTCTTAAGGGTAAACTCGTCTCTTTTCCATCTCCTCTTTTCTTTTCTTATTATTTTTTTTTGGCCCCCTCTCTCGAATGAATGCCCGCATGTTTGTTCGATGCAATTGACAGATGCAAGCATGACTTGGGATTTGTCCGGATTATTTCCGTGTATTCCGTGCTACTAAGTAGTAGCCGTAGTGACATGTCTCATCATTCTGCATGGTTAGTCGGCAAGTGGAAGAACTATCCTATCATCCCTTGTCTCACGGACGTCATGGCTAATGCCCATACTCCGTATGCACAATCCAGACAATATGCAGCCAGCCCCCCCCCTTCATCCGGCAAACACTTCGGTAAAAACTCATGGAACTTGTTTCCGGCCGACTCTCCTCTTGATAGACAAGCCGATAGCTCACTATAATTAAGTACCCTATAAATACTATAATTACTACTCTATTGGTATATGCTATCATATTGGTGAGGGCAGCCTATGAAAATTCAAACGACGAAGAAAGAAAAGAAAGTTAGGGACAATAATAAAATATAATAAAACAAAGCAAAATAATATAAGATAAAATAAAATAAAATAAAATAAAATGAAAATTAAAAATCAATAACATTCCACACTAGCAAGATACATTCCCTTTGGAAGCGACAGCTACTCCTCCGCACTGAGGTAAAGAGAAAGTGAGAGACCGAGAAACAGCAAAATCGCCACCGAAGCGTGGATGCACTGGATGCACCTCTTAGCCGGTAGAATGACGCTTTGACATGAGATCCAATTTTGCAGGTGTGGGTAAATCATCGTGGGACTTGGTTTTCTAGAAGCCAGAACGAAGATCCTTAAAATGACTTGCTCACCTCACTTAAGCGATCTACCTCAAACATTTTTCTTTTATTTTTATTTTATTTCACGACGGTACGTGGTTCGGGTCGGAAAACCGAACGAAGGGAGGCAAATTGGATGCGTGTTTCATCCTGCATGTAAGGTGCATGAGCTCAGTCCTCCTCTTAGTTGCCTCGTAGCGCTTCGTGTTGCGTCGCACTACTGCCCGCGTGGCAAATAATGAGGTTCCCAAAAAGATAAGAAATTAAAACAAAAACTAGATTAATTTGACGAAAACGAGTCTTTCGGTTCACAAACTCGGCTGTTATGGACATACTCGTTCTTAGTCCTCCTGGTAGGTGGTAGGGTTGTCGGTGATGTCGGGGAGTCTTGGTTTGTTGTGGCCGCCATGATGATGATGACGTTGGAAAATATGATGAATCAGAAACGATGCAAGCGCTTCGAAAATGGAAGGTTTCTAGAACAATCCCGTGCCCCGTGCCCCAGATACTAACATCAGATAGGTCCAACGCTATAGTCACAATTGACGATCGCAAGAACTATCCTCGGCAAGCATTAGTATTCCAATATTCCACTATTTGTTGACTATTTACATGTAGTAGTCCCGATCTATGCTCATACTCACTACTCTGTACTCACTCAGGTACGTACTGTACCTCCCACTTTTCCGAACCATGGGCGGTGAGAGAAAAAAGGACCCGTGATCTACGGAAACCCGTTTCTCCACGAGTTTCCAGAAACGCCGTTTGAGCCCTCCAAGGAATGAATGGATGGGCCATGCCATAAATTTACCTAGAAAGATGGTGGAAGACGGAGCCTCACTACTACTACTACTACTAGTCGAGATATTTGCGGTTTCAGTATGTACAGCCGAGTCGGGCAAATCGGGCGCTCAGCCTCAATTTGTGTCATATCAACGATGAGGTCATCATTATGTCGAACAAAAGACTCGGTCGGTGTAAATAAGATAATGTGTATAAGATGGATAAATATCACCTGTACCGTGGTTTCTTGCGCCGAAAGATGATCCACATTTCCCCAAACTGACAGGTTTACCGTGGACTCGAATATTTATTCGTAGTTGTTGATATGGATATATACTCCTGCGTTGTTGCTGCGTAGGATATCCGTACCGATCAATTATTTCCTCGTGACTCGACTGTTTCATCACGAGAGAGGTGTTTCCACGTGGGTGGTCTTCCCCTCCCTTCCCCGTTGTTCTTTGTCCTTCTCCTTCTCCTTCCCACCCTCTTCATCCATCGTCGTCGTCGTCGTCGTCGATGTTCATCAGGGGTTATCTACATCCCTCCTATCTGCCACTTTGGTTGATCGTATGATGTATTGCAGATCCTAAAAATAACCAGCCTTTGTTTTCGCCAGTTATCCAAGCCCCTGCATGTTGCTAGTGATCAGTAGTCTGGCGGGCGTGTGCGGGATCTGATTTGCCCCTCTTGGTCGCTAATTCGGCATTCCCCCCTCCACTAAAGGACTCCTGAACTGTGTCGAATCTTCTGCTGCTTCGATCGGCGTTTTGTCATCATCCTTCCCGTCAGCCTCTAACTAAACCCTTTACCGTTCCCTCTCTTCGTATACCGTTCCAGCCTCTGTGCCTTCCCCACTTTCACAGCCCCTCAATCCCGCTTCACAATCCCAACAACTGAATTTACGATTCTACTTGCTGTTTTATTCATTACCAGGCAATCCTTAGTCTCCTCATTCATCTTCAATTATCCTCATGTCATACATATACAGAGAGCGTGAGCGTGAACGCGACTGGGATGAACCTCGTTCTCCAGTCACGATCAAACGTTACGTCATCTCCCCCGAAGAAGAGCGAGAGCGAGAGCGAGACGTTCTCTACCGACGCGAAGATCCCTTTACTGGCGACCGAGAGCTGGTGATTCGACGGTCCACAGACCGGGAGGAACCCGTCATGCTCCAACGTTACGAGCGCGATGTTGACTACGACTCCCGCAGCTATGACTACCGTTCCGAGAGGGATTATTACGAACGTGAGTACAAGGAGCCTGAACATCTCCATCGCTATTACCCTACCCCTTTTTTTATTCTTGAGAGACAACCAGTACTTATGGTTGAAGCTCGAGGTCCTGTCTATGTCAACCCGCGGGAGTCCGACTATGAGGTTGTCCACCGCTCAGAAGTGGACCGAGAGCCTGGGTACTATTATCATCGCCGTGTCCGCGAATATGACAACGATCGTCGTTTTCACCGTGAACTTAGTCCTAGCGACTCAGTTTCCCAGACCACCCGCCGTCGGGATGACCGGGATGACCGTGACTATAGCAGCGATGATAGCATGGTCTACATCCGCAAAGAGACCCGTGAGTATGATGACCACCCACACCATCGACGTCATCTTGCCGAGGGTGCATTGGTCGGAATTGGTGCTGCAGAGCTACTTCGCAGTCGCCGAAAAAAGGAAGGGGAAGATGTTTCGAGTGGAGTGGGTCGCCTTGGACGGGATATTGGTGCTGGCGCCCTGGGTGCTGTAGCAGTGAATGCGGCATCCCGAGCCAGAGATTACTATCGTAGCAAGAGCCGACATCGTTCGCACTCATTTGAGGATGATCGAAGCTCTCGCTCCCATCACCGTCATCATCATCATAGTCACAGCCACTCCCGTCGCAGTCGCAGTCGCAGTCGCTCTCATTCTCATTCCCGGGCGAGAACTTTAGCAGAACTTGGCCTCGGTGCTGCAGCTATTGCTGGTGCCGTTGCCCTTGCTCGAAACAAATCCAAAGATGAGCGACGAAGCCGTTCTCGCCATCGAAGTAGGTCACGACACCACCGTTCATCTTCTGTCAAGTCTGGAAGGACTACCGATGGTGAAAAGCGCAGCGAGTCGCAGCGTAGAAAGCATATGGCGGGCGCTGGATTGGCTGGTGCTGCGGTGGCTGGTCTCGTGGAGAAGGCACGCAGTCGCTCTCGCTCTCGTAAGCGTGAGTCTCGATCCCATAGCAGGCTCAGGAAAGCTCTTCCTGTCGTAGCAGCTGGCTTGGGCACCGCGGCCGCGACAGGGCTTTACGAAAAACATAAAGAGAAGAAAGAAGAGGGCGAATCTTCGCGCCGCAGGGAACGATCTAGATCTCGAAGCCGGGCGCCTTCCGAAATCTACCCTGACCCGACACGGGACTCTGCTGGTTTGATCGAGTATGGTCAGGACCCGGTTCACGGAAGGATTCCCACGGCGGACTACTACGGGCGACCTACGAGTCAACAGGCTTATTACTCTGATGCTTCTGACCCGGCTGTCAGCGGCACGGGATTTGGCTCGTCACGACACCGTGGCCGCAGCATTAGCCGCAGCCGCAGCCGCAGCCGGAGTCGTGGTGGAAGATACAGCGGTAGCCCTTCTGGGTCTGATAGCAGCGATCGCAGAAGACGGCGAAGGAGACAAGATAAGCATCGTAGCAGGTCTCGTGACTTAGCTGAAGCTGCTTTGGCTGCAACTGGCGTCGGTTATGCGGCTCATAAGTATTCGCAGCGGAGAGAGCGCAAGAAGGCGGAGCAAGAGAGGGAAAGGCCAAGTGAGTGACCGTAGCAGATTGAGAGGGTTACAGTGTGGTCAGACTAATATCTCTCAACCAGGATTCGATGAAGATGCACACCAGGACTCGTATGGCGAACCATATAGCCCTGAGCCGTATCATCACACTGCTCTGCCCCCCCAGTCGAATGAGCATCAATACTACCCTAATACCAATTACTTCCCACCGCCTCCGGGCTCCGCTCCTCGACCAGCTGGAAGCACTACCCCGTACAACCCAGTTGATTATCCTCCTCCACCTGGCGCGGTTCCACCTTCGCAGTCGTATGGTTATCCTCCCCCTCCAGGACCCGAGTCATTCGTGTCTCGACCCCGGAGGGCAGATGAGAATGTGAGTGCTGCATGGAACTCTTCCCCTCCCACTTCCCAAGCTCATATGGATGATGGTGGGTTCAGGGACGAACACCAATGCACTAGGGGAAATTCTAACACGAAAACTTTAGGTCTAAATATCCGATCGCCATCGAGGACTCCCCGTGCGAAGAAGCGAAGATCACGCGCTGCGAGTCAGTCTCCTCAGTCTAAGTCGGTTGCTTTTGATCTCACTTCAGAAGATGGTCAACAAATGGACCTGGGATATGAAACTGATGATAGCGATTCGACGATCGGTTCGTCGAGCGGGGTTCGTCGCCACGGACACCGTCGGCTCCATTCTTCCTCTGAATCCTATTCTCCCAGAACAGGGTCAGAGGCAAAAAATATGGCATCCGAAAAGAAACCGAGATCGAATACTTCGAGAAAAGAGATAGAATCGGATTCGGACTCTACAATTGACTTACCTGATCGCTTCGACTCACAAGGCCGACTTTTGCCCCAGCGCGACGACAGTATGTTCGTTGGCGGGCTCGACAGTCTGTTAAGGGGAATTAATAGAGTTTTTGTCTAGCTGCTTGGTTTTATTCGGTTGTTTCGAATTTTGGGATAGGTGGTTTTTTCGGCTTTGGCATGAGGTGATGACCTTACGATTCATGAAAATTCTTGATATGATATTACATGGAGAATTTGTGACGATATGATGTGATGCTATGTATCCTGGATTTAACGATTCTGCTTTGAAATCAGATATTCTTGTCCTCAACTGAATAGTACTATGATATTTAACCGACGCTCAAGCCTTATGCTGAAAGGATCCTTCCTCTAACGCTAAAATCCTGAAAATTTTCAGATGACTTGAGAAGTACAGCACATTACGTGCGCTGATATAATATATTATGTACAGACATACATACACACATTGAAGCATGGATTCAATCCAGCTGTGACATGACTTTGGTGGCGAACGGAATAGTTCGCCTGATCCTATCCCCAAATCAAAAATTCTAATTGGGCAACACCCAGAACAACACAAAACAAAACCCCAGAACTATGGACAGAAACGCGCCGTGCTGATGCATACATAATCAAGGTCTTTTTTCAACGTGCCATTCCATGCTTTGCTGTTTGTTTCGTGGTAATATATCAGATAATCGTGACGCATCGCTGGGGGGAATTTAGCATAGATATCAAAAAAAAAAAAAAAAAAAAAAAGGGAGTCGTAAGTCGACAAAAGTAAAGTCATTATGTCAAACGAATCACCATCATGTGGGTATTATGAGCCTCCCTTGACAGATCCTTTCATAGAATGAAGTAAACCAACTCCAGATTAAGAAGGGTTCTTGTTTCTTAAACAAAAAACCAGCAAGTCTTAGTAACAAGGGCTACCTTCGTAATACCGGTTGGCAAGAAGACGAAGGTTTGGCACGGAAGCAGGGGCTCTAATCATAGCAAAAGAATATACAAAAAAGAAGCAAGGGCAACGGCGGAAATGGGACAGGGTAATTCCTGAGTTCGCTAATAGAGGATTATTGAAATCAATGGTAATCGAGCCGTGATCACTTATCCGGTGATCCCAAGGTCTTCTCGTACCAAATCAGACGTTGAGCGTTTAGAGGCTGTTTGACGCAGCTCGGGCAGACTGCGACGAAATGACCTTGTCTCAGATATGGTGACAGTGTCGTCGTCTCCAGGATCAGGTTTGTCGTTGCCATCTCCAGTGCCATTGTCACCTCTATCGGGTACTACTTGAACACTGGAGCTGACAGATGCCGAAAGGAATCGGGAGCTTAGAGGTAACTGGTACTTCACAACACCGCGGACTATCAGCTCAAATGGATGCTGCAGTACCCGTTCCCAACGCTCTGTACCGCCCTCCTCCGTCTTATTACCTGGCCGAGCGAGACGGATCTGGCCCTTAGAGGTGGATGATACATAGTTCCATGGCGACGCCTCAAAGGTTAAGGGTGAATCAAACCGGAAAACACGGCCTAACAACATTGTCTGGGGGTCACCCGCCGGGTCAGTTGGGATAGGATCGGTGCCTTTGTCCACACCACCATTCGTGTGCCCAATACGCTTTGATAAGCTTGTTTCATTTGAGAGGCGACCACTGCTTCCGGCACAACGTGCTAGACTAGCTAAACGGGCTCGTTTCCTGCTATCCCCAACACGGGGAAAGTCACTCCAGTCGGATCCTTGATCCCGCCATAGTTTGTCTGTCCCAACAAATCGACTCTTCGCAAAGATGTTCATATCCATGTCGTCAATTGCGACAGGAAAGAGGTTAGGGTTCGTGGCGCGTACGCTGAGGTCCAACATGATCTCTTGTTCTGACGCGAGCACATTCTGGATAGCAAGGATCTGGACATTTACGAGCGATTTGGTGATGCCAACAACAAAGGACGTAGCTCCTCCGATGATAACCAGAAGTAAAATGCATATGACAACACAGGTGCCGTACCGTGAGAAAAATCCACGCTGCCGCTGCTGCATGTACTCCATCTGACGCAAACTGGCGCTTCCGGGCCGTCGATTACCGTGACGACTTCGAGTTGCGCGTGGCGAGCCTACTAGGGGAGTCCGTTCGTCATCTGCACCTTCCGCATCAAAATCGTAGCCATATATTTCGCCCGCCTTTCTGGTATTGTTGATTGTGCGATGATTGGGGCCTCCGCGAGTGACGGGATGCCGCGGCTGCCGAAATCCCCCGATGAAGTGTCGAGGCGATTTTGGATACGCCTGGGACTGGGGAAACGGGGAGTCGCTATCGAACAACGAATGATACGCATTGTTGCGCCCATATCGCCCAGTATGATGGTGCCGGGGAGTATGAGTTCCGCCACTGTCGACCCTTGAGTGACTCCGAGCACTGTCTTCGCCTGCATCCCCATCGACACTGCCGGCATACGTGTTGTTGGTGAACTTCATGCTGCGCTTGCCTGTAACACTATGATTCCCATCTCGCAATCCCGGACGCCCACGAGGGCCCAATTGGTCAACCTGACTGGCCATAGATGTCGCGCTAGGCGTACGGGAATGATACCGACTCTGTCTCACTGGGTATGGGTCCGGTGGGTTCGACTCGTAAACAAATGTTTCGTCAGAATCAGATACATCGGCTTCATCTACAGCGCTAGCTACTTTAGCTTCGAAAATGTCCGCTTTGGAAGATGCGGCCCCACTAGGTAAGGCTGTCGGCTTGCGCGTCCTCTTCTTTTCCTTCTTCGGGCGAATAGTTTCAGTGCTGGGCTTCATTCGAAGGGTGCCCGGATCTACACGACCCGAATTGCTTCGGTCACCGGTCACCACGCCCAGGGAGACCTGAGGAATGGAACTGACCGTCTCTGTCTCGACGATCATGTTCCTAACTGATCCATCCGTCGGCTTACCGCGCGCACCTCCAAGTGACGTAGAGGACCGTTTCGGGATCAGGTTGTCGGTGCCCTTGGCTCCCGAACCACGACGGCGGTTCTCTTCTCGAAGCTCCAGGCTCTTATTCCCTCCGCTATCACTGCCACTCTCGGTGTTTTGCTTAGACGCCTTTGGCGTGCTATCCTCATCGATCTTCTGTAATCGCGACTGTTCGAGCGCCGATTGGTTTAATATAGTCTCTGTCGATGGCGTTGATTGATCACTGGCCATTTCCTGTACCGTCTCGAGGGCAGAACCTGGTCCGTTGATGCTCCTATTCACGGAGCGAGGCGCGCTGCGGTCAGATTTGGAATCGTCGACCAGTAAAGATCGTTTGCTGGACATATTCGGGAGGGTCGGTTCTTGTTCCACCCGACGAGATGTGGCCCATAACGGCATGTTAAGTTTCTCCGGACTCGTAGCATCGGTTGACCGTTCGACATTGGATGGAGGGTTGATGATGAGAGGTTTGCTATTCTGGGACAGTGCCCGTTGCACGGTGGTTGTGGATGGAAGGGTGTCTGAGCCCGACCTCTGACCAAAACTCGATCTACTCGGGCTGCGACCTGCACTGGCTTTATGTGACCGAGAAGAAACGCGAGAAGTTGAGGCGGAGTTACGCGGGCGGCGGGCGGAGCGAACAGGGGAGGATTCACGGGAGGATATAGCCGAATTTGTTGACGAAGCCGGAGCTGACAACCCAGGAGCTGCAGGGGTGAGTTTAGGCATCTGTGATGCGAGGGAGGCTTGGATCTGGGAATTAAACGTTGAACGTGGCACTTCTATCATGTCACCTTCACTAGTAGATCGCCGAGACGTAGACGTCGCAGCCTCATCTTTTTTGGCCCTCCTGGATCCACCAGAGGTAGCATTGCGGTAAGGCAACCTCTCGGATTCCGCTGCCATGATCAATGTCAAGTCAAATTGTGATGACAAGACTTTGAAAAGTCAGGAGATCCGAGAGGGAACCGGAACGGCGGGTCTAGAAAGTGGACAAAAAAAAAATAAAAAAAAAGAGCAGCCCGGGAGAGCCTATGGCGAGAGGGTGACAAATTCAAAGAATGATACCACCGTAGGCGACAGGAAAGGGAAAAAGGAAGAAGAAAAAAA